TATCTCGCTCCCTTTACCAGATATTTCAACAAGAGAGAGTGACAGCCTAGGCCATGAACTCCTGGAGTGCTCAGTTTGCCATACTCAAGTAACTTAAGCAGCCCATCTTCGCAGCACATTTTTTACTCTCCTAGGTTAGCAATTCGTGAGTGCTCAGAGGAAGATGATAGAGATTTGAGGACACTAGTTAAAAGTCTTACATTGGAGGAGGATTTTCTTAAACAAGTCTTGCAAGGAATACATGAGTGTGGACGTTTGAGTGAACACATGCATCTGTTTCCCTGTCCAACCACCATTCCTTCAGTAACTTCACAATCCATGGGCCAATTTCAATCAAATACAACAGAGCTAGATAAAGCTCAAAGATATGAAGTTCCTACAAATTTAAATAGGTGGCCAGAGAGAGGAGAGAGAGACCCTATTGATTCCTGCTTGCAAGGAAAGACTGCAGTGTGACAGCCTTTGTTACATACCAGAGAACGGACATAAAAATTCACCCTTGGGGCAGAGATCTAGGGGGAAAAATATTAAATCTGTCTCATTTCCAGTGAAAGTTCTTGGTTTTAATTATTGTGCATATGGTAATGCTTATGAATTCATACCATGGGCTGTCCTAGTATTGAAGTCTCAGGCTATGCTAGTATATAGGCTGTGTCCTCAGACAAGGGAGCTGTAAATTTTCGTTTCATTCAAGCTCATGAACTCTGTGAAGGGTTTGGTGACAGGCGGATTAAAAGGTGCCTTTTTAGGAGTCCATTGGCAGTGGAAAGTCTCAGACCACAATCACAGAAAAGATTTTTCAGAAACTAGGTGGGAACAGACACCTTATCCTCTAAACAGAAGCTGAAGGCTGAAAGTCTGAACTATATCAACCTCTTGCACACCTGTCAAAGCAAGCACGCCTTTATTTCAATAGATAACTGAAATCAGTCTTTTGACTACAAGCAGTATTCAGGATGCCCCTGTGAGCACCAGCACCTCTCATGTCTTCCAACAAATAACTGCTGGGTTTTGTTGGGGTTTTGAGGGGTTGTTGTTTGTCTATTTGTTTTAATGGCTACGCGTATAGCCAAATAAAAAGCAGTGATTTCTGGACCATGGCTCACAAGAATTGGTGTCCACACAATCTTCTACCACAACTGAGGGCTACAAGAAACCACTGTCACTTGGTACAAAATGGCAAGGAACATAATGTATATCTGTAGCTTGCTTAGACTTTTGGCCTATAAATTTGCAAAGTTTCTGGGCTATTGTCCTACGTGTTTTCAGTGTTTATAAAGATGATTATTTTCAGTCACATAAATTCCTGATCTCAAAATCTCTTGGTCACAAGCTCCTTTGATTCACGATATGCTACACTGGAAAAGTACCCATTTTTTCAAGATGTTATTTTTAAGCATCCTATTTATAAAATCAGCCTCCAATTAGTTTTCTTTTTCCTAACTCTTTAACTGTCCATTTTTGACTGTCACTATGTGCTGTTCATATACTTTCAGCAAGTAGCCTTCAAATTTACCCATAACTTTTTCTGAAGCTCTCTCCCTCAAGATAAACTCTATGAAGCTCAGTTGAGCACAGGTTGTTTAAAGGATATGGTTTAGCTGACATGGTGGTATTTGGTCAAAGGTTGGACTTGATGATCTTGGAGGTCTTTACAAACCTTAATGATTCTACGAAAAGCATATGATGAAATTTGGAAGATTTATGAAGTGCAGATTTGGGAAAAAATGCATTTTCAACTGAAGGCAGAGCTGCTTAGCAGCACAGATGGGCCACTGCTATATAATGGGGGTACATGGACCTTGCCAGACAGCTAAGGCTGGCAGCTGCCTACCTGCCTGTCACCTGTATATATAGGGTAAATCTGCTCCACAGTAGCCATAGGAGAACTAAGATATCCACTTCAGAACAGCTAAAAGGCTTTTCAGAGATCTCAAAATATGAAAATCTGTATTCATTACTGATCTATACTTTAAAATGGACAATGGCTAAGTGTTAAAATCTATCTTGCCTTCAAAACAGTTTGATAGTTTCAGTATTTTGTTATTGAAATTTTGTTTCCCCCTCAACTTTATTGGGAGAAACAAATGTGTTTAGCCTGAAAAATATTTAGGGCGGTTTTAAAGCAGTGTTAGCACATCAAAATTAACTTGTGGCTTTGGCTGCTAGTGTATAATTTTGTACTCAATCCAAAACTGGTCCTCTGAGTAACATCCCCCAGCTATAAAAAAGGAAATACTGATACCTCTCTATTGTGAAAAGAAATTGGAATCTTGTGATGAAGAGCATTATAGAAGAGTCCAATATTACTACTAATATTTAATAAATTAACAAATTTATTGGCAATCAGTTAGGTGATGGTAACCAAATGATTTATGAGCAGTGAAAGACATGAAGTCTATTGTCCCATGAAGAACATATCCCACAGCTTCACCTTTACAGAAACTTCATCTTCTGTCTCTCCAAGGCCACTCAGGGTCCCCACCACACAGGATACAGGATGTGCTGTGGTCAGTTCAGAGCTGCACAGGAGCTTGACTTGCTGATCTTTCCAGTAGCATAAACATGGATCTTTCACCTCTACCCAGTCATTAATTTTGTCAGAACCCCAAGAAATGTAAATGTCTTTGAGTTATCTATGCTTGTTTTAATTTAGACGTAAACTGCCATATGGGTTCGAAAGGTATGGAGCGGGGAGCAGAAGGAAAGGACACTGAAAGTCAAAAGAGGTCACCTCTGCTCCCCTTAGGAGCTAGGCAAAAACCAAAGGGTGGTTTTAGTCTACGCTTGAACTAGTCACAAATGGTTCCCGACCCATTCCCTTCTCATTCTCCCTTCCCATCTCCCTTCTCAGAAAAATAACATCTCTTCAATTCTTCATTCCTGGTACTGAAGAGGTTGGCCAGAGCATAAGTACTTCACCCTGCAAGTGTTACAGTGAGTGTGTTTGCTCAGCTGCTTTAGAACCAGGCTGACTCTGTGATGATGACTGGGGGCCAGCTCCTGTGCTACAGAAAGCCTCTTTCAAGTCAGTGCAATTAGTTGTATGAGTAACAAGCATGTGTACTAATAAGGGCTAAATGGCTAACATTAATACCAAATCCAAGATCTCAAAGTCATGACTTCATTCTAGTGTTACAGAACTTGAATGCTGTAAAATTTGCACAACTCTACCCAGGAAACTCCAATTAAGGACAGAAATAACAGAATTATCTCTATTAAAAACAAAAAAAATTGCTCCAGTCACTGATTTTTTTTTTCTATTCACCTCAAGACTGAATCCCTGTGTAGTCTATGCCATGTAGCTTTGGTGGAGTAGCTGGAGAGACAGGCACTGGAACTAGAGAAAGCCCAGCAGCATGCAAGAGAATGTAAGTCATAAATATGTATGAGTTCATGGAAAAAACAGACCTGATATTAATATAACCAAATCTGAGATGGAGAAGGTCTGCTGCTGAGTCATGCAGAGCACTCTTTGCCAAATGCCTCAGCTAAGAAATTATTCTACATAAAGTTGAAAGCTTGCCACAAAACAAACAGTTCCAAATTCCACCATAAAAAGCTGTGGTGATACCATGGCCATTCTGATCCAATTACTCCAGAGACATCAGGACTTGCTGGCAAGTCTCCTAGGCACTTTCCAGTTAATGGCACAGAAAATGGGAGAAAATGAACAAGAAAAGAGGTTTGTGGAATTCCACTGCAAACTAAAATTACAATATTTTAAAGAACAGATTTTTTGGGGTTACTTATCTTCCCACTTTGGCATATGCTAATATACATGTATAATTTCTCTTTCCCTGCTCTTAGACACAAACTTACTCATCTCCATCACTCTAGGCATGTTGGAGACTGTTTCAAAAATTTTGAAGCAAAATGTTTGAAATGCCAAATGAAATAAGTAGGGGAAATAGTTATGCAGGTTGTAGGGGATGTCAGTATTACTGATTACTAAAATTAACCTTAGTAGGACTTTCCTAGTTACAGCAGAAACATAAAATGAATTTTCAATGTCACGTATAAAGATTTAATGATAGTAGTTATGGGCATCATTTTGGTTATCCTTTTGCATATCTACAAAAAATGCTGAAGGTCTGACTTGGGATGGTTTTTTTTCAAACAAAAATCCAACTAAATGCATTAACAAGCTTTTGCTTGGTAGTTTTGGTTTTGGTTTGGTTTGGGTTTTTTGGGGGGGAGGGAGGGAGGGGGTTTAATATAGGAAAGTCCATACAGCACTGATTCCAACACTCTGAACATTAATGCTCTATTTGTTCATGGCTTTGTATATAAATAGATGCAATAAATGCTGGCTTTGTTGAGAGTCACTGTGTACATGCATTGCATCAGCAATTCAGTTAAATATTTTTAAATGGCCAGAATACAGGCTGCTAAATAAAGAGGGCAAATTTTAACTATAAAAGGAGTTTGACAGACTTTCTTAAAACAGTAAACAAATACTCCCATAGCATTACACTAATCACTTAATGCTTAATGGCATCTACTATAAAGTTAACCTCTCAAAGTCTTCTAGATTTGTATTTTAATGTTAGAAGTCTACTGCATCTAGAAACCAAAATGCTATTTTTATGCTGTACAGCATTACACTGCTAAATGCTGGCTGGCCAGCCCTTGATTTTCTTGCAGTACTAGCCAAACCTGTCTATGTAGCAACTGTAGTAATGATTTAGACATGAGGAAGAATCTTGGGTGTAAGTAAAGGAGGATTAAAAATCTCTCTTGCTAAGAGGTTAAGGTTTTGTGGTTTTTTGAGCTACAATGTTCACACTAAAAGCGTAACGAGCAGGACTTTTCATTCATCATCTTCTTCTCCTGGCATAGAACAGGTACGATTTGTAATTTCATAAAATACTGAAGTAAAAAAAATAAACAAAACAAAACCACAAACAAACAAACAAAACAAAAAGCCAACCAACTAAACAAAAAAAATCCAAACCAACCAAAAAAAAAAAAAAAACAAACCAAAAAAAAAAGCCCCCACAAAAATAACCCACAAAAAACACCCACCTACTTTTTTAATGGAAAATAAAATGTATATACTAAAGCCTAAGGCAAAGAAGCACTGGGAATCAATGAAAGAAAATAACAAATGCATTTCCTGTGGGATGATGAAATGCTACATTTATATAGTTATCAAGAATCAACCCTTCAACAGCTGAGGCTTCCCTGTCATTAATGCCAGCTACATGCATTACTGGGTCAACTAACAATATAAATTTAATCTGGAACAAACACACACGCACCACTGAATTTCTGTATCTTCTGAGCTAAAAAGAGTGTGAGTTACTGTGTTAAAGCAGCTTCATACTTTCTGTTGGCTATAAGCTGATTGCAGGCAAAAATCTCCCCCATCAAATCCATTTAAAGCTGGCCAGAAGAAAGTTATTGCTTTAAAACAATTTTAACACATTTTGTTAGGTAGAATAAGTTTGCACAAAACCTGGAATTTTGCTATTTTGAGCTAGTAACTTTTCTGATCTACTTAAGTACTCTGAAGCCAGATTTACCAAGCCATGTAACCACAGCCTGGTCTCTATACCTCTCTTTTCTTAGTTGATTGTTAGCTGTAATGGTAAGAGCAATGCCAATGATGCATTTACTGCAAAGAAATAAGTATTCACTCCTTACTTCCAGTCTGGCATTATAATGATACTGAAATGGCTCCTCCAAAATGGGATATTACATATTGTAGAAGGCTATAGCATAGGTCATCTCTGCCTCAAAAAGTTTTAAAACCAAATACACAAGAGAAGAATCATATAAAGATTTTTTTAAGATTTAAGATTACAAAACCAATTAAAATCATCCAATCTGAAAAAGTTCTCAGTGGTGAATAAAGTACTTGGCTAGAATACATGTTCAGTGCACCAAAATCTCTGAATAAGTTTGCCAGGTGATTTGGATGAGCAAGAAATGGAAATGTGTATTATTCAGTGTAGACTTTGAAGTTAGGGTATTTTATTCACATTTCTGATCAGATATAGAGATTTCCCATAGTGAATAATAAATCCCTTTTTTTTGGCAGGCAATTGGACAATTTGCATAAAAATCCTTAGTTTTTAAGCCTGTCTACTGTATTTACTGACCCTGGCAGTATAGCTGCAAAAATGCAAGGGTAAAAGTGTCATTTGTCTTTAAGAAGGAGGCAAGGGTCATCTACTGCTACAGCATTTCTCAGCTGCCCAGCAATATGATGTCCACAGCCAATTTGTACAGGAAATCCATTTTATTGCCTGGCCTGAGGCTGAAAAAAAAATGAGCAGGAATTCAGTGGTTCAAGACATTCAAAGAAATCTCCCAATAGGTGTCAAATATTGAAGGCTGGACCCTTGGCTCCCTTGCACACAGTGGGACCTGACCACAGTGAGGTGTTGATATCAATATTCCAGTCTACAGTAAGGAAAGACAAGAATCATCACACAGGATTCATGACTGGGCAAGGCTTTTTTGATCATCCTGACTTGATTTCCATTAAGGACTGAGGTTCCTGTTAGGTAGAACCACTCAACCTGGCTGAGTGTGGGAACCAGAGGGAATCCTCCAGTTGCACAATGCAAGGGTCTTGCTCTGAGGTCTCAAAAGGAGGCCTGTGCCTTATAAATACATGGGATCTAGAAGGAAAAAAATACACTGAGTGTCACAATCTTGTACTCTAAATATTGGGGTATTAGATATGGAGTCTATCTCAGTCTCATGGGGGCTTTGCAAGGAAGGGCCCTAAAACAGAAAGGAGTTTTGTGAAGTGGTGGGCAATTAGTTGCAATAAGCAATTTACTGAAGTGGCCCATGAGTCTTACATTTATAAAGGATCATTTGATGTTTAAGTACTATTTTTATGAATGTAAGAAACAGCAGATATTAAAAGGTGCTCTGAGATCTGAGCAGAAATTGATGCTGAATGAGGTTACTAAACTGAAATATTTTAAGAGTATCAAAGATATTTTAAACAGATGTTGCAGTCAGAAATTCAAATTGTTGTTTGCCATTAAAGATGTTGGTTTCCTGATGTCTGCCATGCACAAAGAAAAAGTGCTGGCTACTATAGCAATCTCTGCATCATGAAAACAGTTACATGATTTTAATAGGTCTGTTCACTTTCAACTGTCAAGGTCCTGGCTATTTCCTACCAAGACAAAACTATGTAAAGGCTAGAATTTTATACAGTTACTATTTGCTCTTTCACACTGACCTTTTAGGACCATTTAGTACCCATCCAGAGGATGGCTGGGATTTTAGCTCTACAAGTTACACTCCTTTGCATCTGTATGGTCATCACACAAAACCTGAACCGCCCAACAGCCTGTGATGGATAGGGAGGCCTCTGGAGCTTCTCTGTTCTTCTCCAGAGCTATCCCCCAGCAAGGCTCTCTCTTCACCTCTGGTCTCACTGAATCCTCCCTTGAACCCACCAAATGCAGTTTTGCTAGGGTCTTTAGCATGCCCTTCTTCCCAAATGTGTCCTTGTCGGTTCTTTATTTGTGATACCACTGGGAACATCTGCTTCCTCCACAGTGGTTTGTGTCATTCTTTGAAAGTTGAGCTGACACAGGCTGTGCCTCCATGGCAGCATGCCTCCATCAAGAGACTACATTCATCAAGCAACACGCCAGGGGAGTGAGACTGTCTCAAAATAAATCCCACTTCCTTTCCATATATGAAAGGATATTTCCAAGACCTACAGCTGATGGCAATACTTTTCCCAGCAATTGCAGCCCGAGAAACAAAAAGCTAGTTATCCAGTCCTAGGTAAAGATGCTGAAAGAAAACTATTGTCATCTGATTGAGATAATGTGTCACAGCAGTCTCTGCTAAAGCAGAGGATCTCTGAGCCATTCTACCCTTCTACCTCTACCAGCACAGCCCAAAGGGCAGATCATACAATGATTCCAAGTACCTTTTTGAAGCATCTCTAAGTATACCATTTACCTGGAGATTTTGTTGTTATTTATCCCTGTCATCCTTAGCAATTTACATTTAATGAGTAGACTAGATGTATTTTTGTGGCTGATGCTTCACAGTAGGAAAAAAAAATGCTTAACTGTGTCTGGAGAGCCTTCAAGGGGATCCTCATCCTATATTGAACCTCAGACCCATTCATCCTCTTTCCAGGAAGCTGTCAAGAACCTTCTAATTTACTCTTACCACTCCTTTTTTCTTATTTCATTGCCCTCTTGACACACAGTCCTATGCTCATAAACCAGGCAAACCACCGTATGCATGGTATGTCCAATGCCACTACAGAGTAAAGGAAAAATGGAGGGTGGGTTTCCTCCAGCCCAGGAGCTGTTTTGCCCTATTCCCTGCTAGAAGTCGGCTGCCTACCAAAAATGCTTTTCTTCTTTGAACTTTGGTGTAAAGTTCTGGTCAAATGCATCTGAAAAGCAGTGATTTTTAGAATAGTACAAAACCAAGAAATTTACCATTTTTCCAAGTTATACCTATACAAGGAAGATGTGAGGAATAAGATGCAGGGGGCTCCTATAACTAGCTAAAAGTCTATTGAAGTCTTTCTGGGCTTGCCACAGCACACAGGCTGTGAGTCACAACTCCCAAGGCTTCCAGTTAACAACTAAAAGAGAGAAATGATCATAACGTTTTTCTCAGTGAGTGATTAAGACTGCTTTTAACAATGTAGTCATGCATGTACTAAAAGGGGTGATTCATTAGTTTCTTGGAAGAGGAGCATCTTCTTTTCTCAGTTCAGAAGCCAAAGGGATTAGCCAGTGTCCCATGAACAGGGCTGATTAGCATGTAGAAAGAGGAAATACTGGCTACTTTTGTTCCTGACCCCACATCTGCAAAGCTCTTCTCATTAAAGCAAAAAAGAAATAGGGGAATTTTGTATTCATAAGTGGCATTGTTTAGTGGCATAGTTTAGACTTTGCATAAGTCTAACACCTGAGCTGGCCACTGGCAGCTACTGGCAGCTCCCTCTTCTGCCCTGCAGTCACAGGTACCTGCAGCCAGGCTGGAGCATGATCTTCATGGCCCTGACGAGCAGCCAAGACAGCAATACCAGCTGCTGTGCACACCACTTTCTGAGGTTGCCCTGCCATATACATGAGAAGTTTGTTCATCCAGATTTTTGTGGTGATTGCCTCTGCTGAAATAAAAAGGAACAGTTACAGGTAGAACTGACAAAGAGGATGATGACAATAATGGGGTTTTTTTATTTGAACCATAGCGTTGCTGAAATGAAATTTATACCAACTCCTCCCAACTTTCCACTATCTTAAGTTTGTTAATGTTAATCTTCTTTTAAGATGAGGCCATGTGTACAGTAATATGCCACTCCCAAGCCTTTTTAGGTTTGGGTAGCCCCACATTTTAAGGCATTCTTTGCAACACCCTGGTGTTGCAATACAGTAGTGGGATGGCATAACCATCCAAAAGGTAATGCTGGGTTGTCTTGCAGTCTCCATCCTGTAAGGAGAAACGATGTTGCCAAAGCTTATATGCAAAACATTTCCAACAAGCAGAAATTGATGGTGCTGTGTTTTCATCACAACAGGTGTTTAATTTATGACCAAGTACAAAGCAATTTTTTTTCTGAAGAGACTAATCAAAATTGTCACATAAAAGACCTACATTTCTTTCCCCTTTTCTTAGAGTCTAAATATCAGATACAAGTATAACTTACATGCAACTCATTTTCCATGCTTCTTACTGCAGACTCATGTAATAATCATCTGGACACACTGCACTCAGAAAAGTGGTAGCAATTCCAAATTGATGCATGTGACAGATCTCTGGCACCAGTTTAATGATGTTCAGTATCTGCAATGCTAGTATACATGCAATGCCCTTGCATCCGAACAACCACCACACTATTCCTAAGTACACTTGTATCCTGGATTCTACTAATTTCATAGAAATTCTGCATCACTTATCCCTGGGCTAAGCCTTTGTCTAAGTGTTTCTCTCTCTGTTTTTGCTTAGTTTTTCTTTTGACCTAATCCTGGCTATCCATTTTTGCCTTTCAGTGCTCCTCTCCGCTGGCCCAGGTTGCCTCCTTGGCTGCTACAGCACCAGATATTAAAGCAAAATCATTCATCTTCTTCTCCCTTACTCGTGCCTCTGTTTTCTTGAAGAGGTCAGGGTGGGATGATGCAGCCTCCACATCCCAGGACAACCCTGACCTACATGAAGTGTTTAGCAGCTCTAAGGGGTGGCTAAGCAACCCCTTGAGTACTTCCCTTCCCAAACACATTTGAGCAGTATCGTGCCCTGAACACCGGCCTACCCTCAACTCTCCTGTACAGGTTAATATGTATTATCTGAATCCCTTCTGTTTCACCTTGACAAGCGCAGAGTATGCTTCCTATAATATAGGAGTGGAAAAAGAGTTTCTCTAGGTGCCTGTCTAGCTGAGTTCCTGATAAAAAGACCTCACGGATTTTGGTTTATATTATTCATTATGTAAGAGTGCTTAAAGCCTTGGCTACAAAAATTACATGCAATAAAATTCCAAACATACAATTTGAAGGAAATATATCACTACTGAAGTAAGAAGTACTTGAAAAAAAAAAAAAAAAGAAAAAGGGGTTTTTTTCAATTCAAAAACATGGTATTTTGAGCTAAAACAAGGATAAATTTTGTGGGTTTGAAAGTCAAAAAATTTCTCTTAAAAACTAAACAATTGAATTGAAATGTTGCCAGGGTTTCTTTTTGTTAAATAGTGGAATATATTGACTAAAAGAAGGATCTTCTGTAAAAAATCTCATATTCAGTCAAAAAGTTTAAATCTCCTGAATCTCCTGAATACACGTCCAGCACATATTGGACACCAAATGAAATCATCCTCATTATATACATGTATATGACCCCCGAAGAGCAATTTATTCCATATAAAAACAGAGCATTATGAATTCCATATGTGAGGTGTTATGTAACTTACATTATTTTTTCTTTCACCATTATGCTTCAGCTTCCACCAAAGACTTCAAAGACAAATAAAACATCAGTCATTTAACTGGTGATATATAATACTCATATTTGTCATCTCTGGCAAGGTTCTGCTTTTAAACTTAAGTTAAAGCAATTAATTTGTGTCCTAAGAGACATAAGTACATAAATTTCACTGCAGCAGACCTCTGATAATGCTGAACACAGAGCAAGGTCCTTGGGAAGGACCTTGGGAAGGAAAAGTGAGCACAGTGTTGAATGACTGCAATGATTACTATTTTCTGTAACTCTTGAAAACTTGTATGCTACTCTTCTAACACTTACTTGGAAATAGCTGCATCATTTTAGCTAAAGCATTTCCTACCTTCTCCCCTTGGGTCCCCACAAGAAACAGCCAAAGGCATTTATTTAGCATTGAAAACATTTGAACAATGTATTCACATTTAAGAAAGTATGGAAGAATTGAAAACAGCATAATTTAGTGGAAAAAGCTGGGCAGTCTTTTCCTAGGAGCTATTACCCGGGCCTTGCATAATGGAAATGTGGCTATTTTTCTTTATCAGTAATTCACTGCCCTTGTTACTCTGCCACTCTCTACAATGGTTAATATATAACTCACCAATGTGTCAGTTCTTCCCTAAAGTGTTACTTTCAGGCACTGCAGGGGAATTCCCTTTGATATCTGTGCCAGAGCAAAGGTACACTGGCAGCTGCAGTTTCACAAAGGGGAACTTCAGCTGCAAGGACAGCTTGGGAATGTCTGTCTCCCATCCCTGCCTTGCCTCCGGCTGCTTCTTCACACTCATGCTGCTCTGCAACTGTTGTTGGGTTTGTGCTGTAAATCAGGTCACTGAGCTGATCCAAATTACAAACAGCCTTTTTTACTTACAGAGTTGTTCTTAATACAGGTTGTTTTTCTTACCAGAACGATGCCAGAAACCAGTTGCTGGTGCAACTGAGGAGACAGGGCCCTGGGACAGAAAGGAGAGAAAACCATTTGGGATAGTGGGCACTGGGGAGGAAGTATGCTTTATGGAACTGCTGGCTCAGATGGTGTCTCTTCCATTAGTAAGGGTAGGATGCGGTCCAGAGGCTGTTGTCATAAACTATTAACAAACAGAAAGTTCACACACAAATGGATCATGCATTGTTTTTAAAAAAAAGACTAAAACTAAACAGTAAAAATTGTTCGATGCGTGACCTCCGCACAAAAAGTAACTACATACACAGGTGGTACAGAACGTGTGTGTGCACACATACACACATTTATTCACATGCACATGCATACACACATAAATGTATATTCATGCATATATACACACAAAAACTATCTCTAAATTTAAAAGAAATGCAAAATCCATCTCACTTTAGTGTTTTTGCCAGCCTTCAAAGCCTGCATGCAGCTCTGAGCCCCTGCATGGCTGGTTCATAAAAGCAACAACCAGAAAAGCCTATAGAGGGAGCAGGTCGCCTTCTTTTCCTGAGCTAAAGGAGTTCTCGACCTTAAGTGACGACCCTGAGAGGATGAAAATGTCTTAGGAAACCCCGAGAGGATGAAAATGTCTTAGGAAGCAGAGCCCTATGCAAGGGCCAGAGCCAGTTGCCCTGCAAACAGGAGAAGCAGCAGCAGCAGAACCCGCCTCTCAGGACATAGGCAAGAGAGCTGCAGGTCCATACCTGCCATCTTTTCCTCCTTCCCTCTTCTTCATGTTCACACTTTGTGCCCTATAGGGAATCAAGGATTTGTCAGTGTTTTCCCTGTTCTGCAGTCAGTGGGGTGTCCTAGCACTTCAGGCTCTTCTCTGCACTTTGCAGGATGGAGATTTGCTTGCTTGGAAGTTGAGTAGAATTTCATATTACAACACCTACGATTGAAGTAATAGAGCACTGCCTAGAAGTAAGGGAAAAATGCAATCAGAATAGCCTGGCATTTCCTGTTGAACAAAAAGAATAACTAGAAAATGGCTAACCATGTCACAGATAATGTAAGAGAAGTAGTATTAAACAGAGACAGTACTAAAACTGCATTCAGAAGACAGAATATAAGAAATAGCAGAGTTAGCTATTGTCAGTAGAGGCTTTGTGACTGAATTGAACAGTATGTGTATTCAAATTCACATGTGCATACACAAAAATTTCTAGTAGTCTTTTACCCATGTATACCTGTATTATAGGTCCAGAAAGCTGGTAGTTATTTGTATGATTGCAAAGCCCAGAAGGCCTGTCCTAGACAGACTTGTATTTGCTGTGCATGACCCAAATCTGCACCAGGACCCTCTGTCTTACCATGTTTATTATAATGCAACAAAAGAGAGGGTTGTTTTTTTTTTCTTTTTCTGATTCTTTTTCTTTTTGAAACAGATAGGGAGCTGTGACCAAAAAAAGTTTAACAGAAACTGGATCTTATCAAACCAATCCAGTTTCAGCCTTAGAAACCAAAAGACTAGCAACTAAAAAATACCTGTTTGGGAACAGTGACTTTACTGAGATTCTTGACTGAGTAGTATGTGTGTTCTCAACTTAAAAGTAACAATTAGAAATAAAAAAATGGTGCATAATACATGGCAAATACACATGCATTATTTACTATGTTGCACCTGTGAGTTCTTGTAGAAAGACTGGCCACCAGAGTGTGCACCAGATAACTTAGATTCTGGTAAAAATCTAAGAACGGGCATAAAGCATGCAATATTTATACATAAAAAATTATACTAAGAGCTCTTCCCCCCACGCACTAAGGTCTAATAATACTTTAGTGTTTGTCTCCTGGGGAGCAAGAGCATGTCTTAGCATTGCAACATAAATAGTTAAGCACAAGTCATGCAGCTGTAAAAGAGAAAAGGAACATTCTATGTCCTTGAATTCCCAGGCAATGCAGCGTGAGAAATAAAATAAACTTAAAAAAAAAAAAAAAAGGGATGCTATTACTTTTCCTCAGATAACCTAAATAATATGTTTCATCTTTTGATACAGGTTTGCTTTTTTTGTTTTTTTTGCATCATTACAAAAAGGCCATTTGAAGAATATGTTCTGCATAGTGATGTGATTCAGCAACTTTATCGAAAACAAAAATGCAGGCCCTTTTTTCAGTGCACTAATGAAACACAACTGGCACTAATTTTCAAAGAATTGAGCCTAACTGGAAGCCGGCAATGTACCATGTATGTTGAAGCTCAGTGGTCTTAGATCATAGTATTATTTTTCATGGGTTTTTATATATTGAAGATACGCTGAACATACCCTGCTGCTAAATCAGGCCAATGATAACAAACATATTACTGTACAAGCTGTTGTGTTACCAAGAATGGCTCAGCAAATACATTTGCCTTTTTATCCAAATTCTAGGTAGCTTCTGTCCATACCAATATGTGAGACCATTGTTTCTGAGTATGTCCCAAGGGCATATCCACAGAAAGGTTACCCAGCAGTTCCACAAAGACAAAGCCCCCTGTCATGATCTTGCCATGTCATAACATTTTTTGCACAAGGGCACTGAATGGTAACGCCACTGCAGAGACATTGCATAATTTTGCATACTGGGTATTCTTTACCCAGGAGTGCTCCAAGTCTGAGAAATGAAATGAGGATCAAAAAGAAGTAGAAAATCCCCCACAGTGACACACAGGGTAGTCAAAAGGATTTAGGAAGCCATAGGGCCCCGGTGCTTCATGGGTGTGTTTTCCATCAAAAATATCCTAATAAAGAGATCCTCGTCTATTTAGCCTGATAAAGGAGTCATGTCTCCAGGCAGGCATGACAAGTGATGAGTGCCTGAGCTGGGATGTGCTGCATGTCCTGGTTTAGGGCAAATGCTGCTTTTTCTCCAAGCAACATGTGGGAGTGACAGACAGCATGTACCACTGCGACTATTCCTGCCTCCAGCCACAAAAGAGCTGCCACTGCAGCTCTGCAGTCGACAGCGACCGCAGCTGGTGAGAAGCGGGTCCCACACCCTCTGCAAACCCATTTGAAGATGAAAAGTGCTGCATAAGCACCCACCCTTATTGTTCCTGGCAGAGCTGCATGGGGATGTTGGCACCCAGGACCTGTGTGCATGGCTAACCACCAACCAGCATGGAGCCTCTACTCTTAGAAGCACCAAGCAATACTCTCCAAATATATTGCCAGTTGCAAAAGGAAGAGTCATTTTGACAACAATGTTTTTCGGTGACTAAGTGGCCAGGGTGTTGCTGGCATTAAATAGTTGGCAGAATTTTTACCATAAATATTTCTATCAGGCCATTGTATCTCAGCTGTAAAAACTTGTTCCAGGCTGGTATCTGGCAAACAAGACCCAGCAAGATAAACCTTTTTTAAACACATTATGCTATCTGAGTAATCTACAGATATGTAAATCAAGAAGTTTGCAAGTATAGGCCGCCCCACTGACAACTTTGCTGATTCTTCTTTGCTGATGCTACGGGCATTGGGGGAAGTGAGCACTGGCCATCCCAAAGTGCTTGGTGGTTTAGGGCTTTCATTTTACCTCCAGATTCCCAGAATGGTTCAGATAAAAATGCTGGGGAGGCACAGGGTAGAGCAGACAAATTGCAGTCAATGAGGAAACCCAGAGAAGAATTTCCCCAGGTCTTTTCCCCTAGGAAAAAACTCACCTCTTGAGAATGCACATATAGCAAGACACAGATCACCCTTCTACACAAGTGAAGAAGAGCCACTGTTGGAGAGTCCCAGTGTCCTGTCTAGCCATACATATGCCTCCTTTCAGATCTGGAGCTAGCCAACTTTTCCAGGTAAGTGAAAGAAAAATTTCTATCTCAGGGGAAATATCTGCTGTTGCTGCAAAATTAAACCGGTTTCTTGGTCATAATGCCATTAACACTGCACTGGCTACACAGTCCTCTTGTGTTTCAAAAGTTTTCCTGTGGGTCCTACCACATCTGATATATACTTTGGTGCAAAACATGTCAACCAGCCCTTCTGAATGGAGATTTCTGGATGTGCACAGAGTATCCACAGGACAAATAAGCGGTTAAATACAACAGCACTGGAAAACTCAGCACTGAACAAATAGTAGCAACTTTTCATATATTAATGCTAAACTATTCAGGATTTATAGTCAGAAGTACTCTTTTCATTGATTTCATTATTAGAAGTCTGTTACATCTATGGGGTTTTTTTAAATGCTGAATCTCATTTCCAAATGGCCTGAGGGAACAACAGCCACAACAATAAAATTAGGAACCTATTACTGAAGATAAAATTAGAATAACTAAGCTCAACACTATACAGGGAAAATGGAGTGTTAAAATGTATGAGGTAAAATGTTTTCTAACTATCCTAATGTTAAACTTCATTTTGCCCTTGGAATGAGCAAGGGCAGAAATTTGTGACAAGCTACCCCACTATTAAACACAACTGCGGTTTGTGCAAGTTATATACTAAATCAGTATATTTTCTCTGTATAGTTAAGGCTAAAGAGGCTTAATAAGATATTTCTAATTCATTTTTAATTAAAAAGCCTTTTTAAAAAAATACTTTTAACCCTCCCTTCCTTCAGGATTGTGATTCCAGGAAGTCCTGAGAAAATAGATAGTTTACTTTTCAGACCTGCTTACACAGAAAACTTGGAGGGATATCTCAAGTGAAAAAGATTCTTCAGCAAGCGTGGTAAAGCCACTGCTATCCCGTCTATCACCTTGGTGGCAAAAGTAGCAGAAGGTGACAAATACCAATCTGTACTAGGGCAACCACTCAGATACTTTGTAGTGAAATTTTCTGAGGTAGGTAGGACTAATGTTTCAGAGCATACTTCCAAACACACCCTGGGTTGGAGTTAGGCTTCCCTTATAGCTCCTGAACAAGTATCTTCATGAAAGGGACGTGCTCACATTATCTGTGCATAGCGCATACACAGGTTGTGCAGGCTGGGGAATGACAATTCCTTCTCACAATGATGTTGAAAAATGTATTCCCTTTTTTTTTTTAAGGAGCAAAAAAAGAAACTGCATATTCCAAAACCATAACTGCACCGTAATAGCCAACACTGGATAAGAGGGGTGGGGGCAGTCTCCAATATCTTCTTGCATTAGATAACCCCCCCTTCCCCTCCCTCTTGCAGTCTCAAACATGTGGCTGTAATAAACTCTTTAAGGTAACCTTGTCAAATACATTCACCAAACATTCTGATGAAAGGGAATCATTAAAATAAAAAAAATAGGGTGATGAAAACACTCTGTTTAGAGCATTGCTTCATGTTGGTGAACAGCTCATTTGCTATTCCTGGGTATTAGAATCGAGCTCTGTGCTTTTGCAATAGATATTTTTAAATAAAGGTTAAAGAACATGTTTGTCTTATGTTACATACTTGAAATGTCTGTGGAAACAAACAGGCAGCCGGTTCTTACGGTACTGTCTATAGGTCTTGAAATGAGCAGACAGGCCAAATACACATGGGTTTCCCAAATTGTTCTGCAGCAAAAATCTGCACATATGAGCTGACTCCTTATCTCCACTTTAATCAAATGAGCTTATTGTTAAAGTTTTACAAAGCAACCCAGCAGCAAGGTGAAAGATGAAGAGATTATTGAATAATAGATAAGAATATTTTTAGTCAGCTCAGATGTATTCGTGTATCTGAGAAAGCACCAGGAAAAAACCCTCGGAAAAGTGCTGGCTGAATTCCAGCAAAAGCAACTCGACTGTCAGGGCCCTGTGAGGGCTGGGGCCTTCCCATAAGAGATGGCAGGGCAGAGCCTAAAACAGAG